CTCCACGCTTGCTCAGTTTGTCACCTTGCGAGGTGTGCACCCAAACCTCCGAACCAAAAATTTTAAAATGCTTTACACATGGCTTTCTCCCGTGAAGCATCTCATATGGGGTGCAATTTATACTAGACTGGTACCTCCTGTTATACACGTGACAGAAAAACGAAAGAGCTTCAGCCCAAAAGGGATTGGGCAGCCCCGAATCATGTAACAGCGTTCTGATTCCTTGCTGCAGGGTTTGGTTTACTCTCTCACATAAACCATTCTGCCAGGGTGATCTGGGCGTGGCCGTCCTATGCTCAATGCCCTGTTCAGAAAGAAAACTCTCAAACTCTTCTGAACAAAACTCTCCACCCCTGTCTGTGAAAATACAACATACATTCTCATTATGTACATTTCTGAGCCATTTACAAAACTGACGAAACTTGGTAAAGGCTTCAGACTTTTTCTGCAGCATATAGACCCAAACATATTTTGAATAGGAGTCTATCAGAACCATAAAAAACCTTGAATTGCCTCTAGAGAGCGCTAGAGGCCCCACTAAGTCTGCATGAATGACTTCGTATGGTTTCTTGGCCTCTCTCCCAGACTCTGTACCTTTGGGAGCTTGCCTTGCCTTACTCTCAGCACAAGAAACACATTTCATGTGGTAGGGACATTCTTTCAACCTCATACCCTGAACCATAGCAGGCATTTTTGCCACAGCCTGGAAATCCAGATGACCATAAACACGGTGGTAATAATGAATACATTGGTCATGCAACTTCTCATTCTTATTTACAGACAAATTGCAACACTCTTTCTCAGTTGCTTCTGCAGTGCCTGTACCTGAAACAAAAGGCAATTGGTATAAATCCATTTACACACTTTGGCATACAAAATGCACTTGCCATCTCTAAGAATTTCACAGCGAGATTTAGCAAACACCACCTTAAACCCTTGACGATCAAGCTGGGAAACACTCAACAAATTGTCCTGAATATCAGGCGCATACAGGACATTCTTAATAGTTGCATTCAGGCTCTTTAAGAACACAGTTCCCTGAGCCACACTCGTGAGAACTGTCCCATCTGCTTGATGAATTACTTTCTCTTGCTTCTCAAGCTGAACAAAGAGATTCTTATCTTTGGCCACGTGGTTTGAACAGCCAGAGTCGACCACGAAGAAACTCCGCCCACGTTGACTGGAACAGCGAGAGATCAAGGCCTTTGAAGTAGCAGATGCTTGGGGATTTCTTCCTCCTCCCCCTCTGCCTCTGAAGTTTCCCTTCTTCTTTGAAGATTTCTTGCACTGGAAACTCAAATGGCCTTGTGCTCCACACGAAAAGCACCGCTTCAATTTCAAAGCTTTAACAGCAGCAGTTTCACTTTCACTTTCCCCTGCTGAAGACTCAGGCACATTTTCAAGCACATTTTTAACAGCACCATTGTCCCGGCTTTCTCTAACAGCCTGTCTGCGATCCCACTCATTCAGGAGCACGCTAGAGACATAATCTTCTGTTAGCCGGTCAGAAGGCATTGTGGAAATCTGGGCAGCTACTCCATCATAAGACTCATCTAGGCTATTGATCATTAGCATTGCAAACACAGCCTCTGAAATAGCCAGGTCTCGCTGAACAAGGTCCTGTCTGAGGCGCTTTAATTGAGATAGATGGCTAGGTAAATCACCACCTTTCTCCAACTGCAGCCTGCACAGCTTCTTAAAGAAAATCACACTGGAACCAGCATTCTGCCTCAGATGCATATCTCTCAACTTATTCCAAACAGCCGTGCCTCTTGCGTCGACCTCTCGGCAGCTTCCGTTGCCAGGGCCTCCTCTAGAGCGACCTGGAACGTTAGGTCCTTCTTGGCGTAGAGGCGTCGTTGCAGCTTCTCATCCTTCAGGCCACCGACGAGGCGGTCACGAAGCATGTTCTCCAGCTCTGAGAAGTTGCAGAACCGGGCGGCTTGGCGGAGAGAGGTCACAAACCCAGTTTGTGGAGAGCCAGTGTGGTGTAGTGGTTAAGAGCAGTAGTCACGTAATCTGGGGAACCGGGTTCGCGTCTCCGCTCCTCCACATGCAGCTGCTGGGTGACCTTGGGCCAGTCACACTTCTCTGAAGTCTCTCAGCCCCACTCACCTCACAGAGTGTTTGTTGTGGGGGAGGAAGGGAAAGGGGAATGTTAGCCGCTTTGAGACTCCTTAAAGGGAGTGAAAGGCGGGATATCAAATCTAAACTCTTCTTATGGTTTCCCCAGGGGCTTGTCGCTTTGTGCAGAAGGCATTTCGACGAGCCACCACTGAGGGCTGCGGCGAAAAGTGCCCCTTCAGCTGTTCCATTATTGTTTTGTATGGAACAGTAGCGACGTCTTCAGGTGCAAGGAGAGCCCGGGCGATTTCAAACGTCTCCTCTCCGCAGACGCTGAAGAATATCGCCCTCTTCTTGGCGTCTTCTTCGTCGGTGACCCCTTTGGCTTCTAGGAGGAAGGTGAAATGGGAGGCGTATGCTTCCCAGTCTCCAGATGCTGGGTTGAATGGCGAGAAGCTGCTGTTGGCTGCCATTCTGCGTTCCTTGTGTCCCGGAGCTGAAGCCTGGATACACGGTGCGAGGCAGCGGTGCGGCAGGCGGCGGTGCTGCGGTGCTGTGTGTGGCAGTCAGCTCAGCGGAATCCCACCTTCGTCACCAGTGAAATATACTCAGAGTCGCAAAGTGATTTCATGCTCTTTATTCAGCTCATAGTGGTGAGGAGGAATGAATGAAAGTCCCCTCACAGTATCTGCTTTATATACATTATTTACACAATGGGCCGCACATGATTGGCTAATTCCGGAATTCTACTGTAAGCCAATCAGGTTGTGGATTCACTTCTATCTGGAGCAGGATTGGGTGGTTCCTGCCAACCAATCAGACTGCTGCATTGTTCTAGGACCAATCAGACTGCTGCATTTTGGATCCTATTGTTCTAGGACCAATCAGACTGCTGCAGTTTCGATCCTATTCAACTCAGTACATAACACTAAGGAAAAGCAAAGCAGCTGCGCATTGGCGCATTCCCCCAACATGCATCACTTTAATCTCCTTGACAATGAACTGTATTTTCGGCCCATTCAGCCCGTTTGGAGAAGTCCCTTTGGAGCTCCTTGCAATCTCTCTCCTTGCAATCTCTCTTTATTTGCTCCGGTTGGCTGGACTCCTCCCTTTATTCCGCTGGGACCCGCAGGGCTCAGCCAGACGAGCTGGGGGACTGAGCAGCCTCGCACCTAGATTTTTCTATAACACCCCCCTCCCAAAGAAAGGCTCAACATCCACGCCCATGGGGGCCTGTGGCCAGCCCAGACCCTGGAGCATCTGCATCTCTGCCCCAGCTTGAAAGTTAGGGGCTGCAGTGCTGGCGAACCTTATCTCCCCCTCCCCGTCCAGACAGAGGAATGGCCTTGTGGGGTTGGACAAGAGAGTCCCATCTGGGTGGTGTGGAGTGGGCAGTGTGGGGGCTTCGAACTGTAAAGTAGGGAGGGCCCTCCTGAGTCATCTAGTTGAACCCCCAGCATAGTAGTAATCTCAGCTAAGCATCACAGGCAGGGGGCCATCCAAGCTCCCCCCACCCCACCCAAGGAAGGCACTCTCCCCACGGGCTGTGCTGTACTGCCCTCTCAATGGCCCCTCCTGGCACACTTTCCTGTGGCCAAAGACTCTTCCCCAGGGAGGGCATCTGAACAGGAGACCACCCCCCTGTAGGGTGCTGTGTTGATGTCCGCCAGGCGAAGGAAAAGCAAAGCAGCTGCGCATTGGCACCGAGGGCTCCCAGACTTCAGCCAGTGCCCTCCAGGTGTTCTGAGTGCAGGCATCGTGCTGGCTGGCACTGAGGGGAACTGCAGGCCAACCTGCCTCGGGGGCACCTGCGTGGAGATGGCGGTGCCAGGGAGAAGAGCAGCAGGTTCAGCCAGAGGCTCCTAAAGGCTCTGCCCAGTTTCTTGGCGTGGAAGATGTGACCAGCCAGCAGGGACTGGGGCTGGCCCCTCCTGGCCCCTGTTACCCAAGGTAAAGGACCCCTGGTCAAGTCCAGCCAAAGGCGACTATGGGGACTTACTTCTGAGTAAGCGTGCATCAGATGGAACAGCGAATCCCTATGAACCGCGTAGGGGTTACTCCTAAGTAAGCGTGCATCAGGCAGGGCTGCAGAGTGGTGCTTCCAAAAGCAGCCAGTTTGCACATCTCATGGGATTTAATGTCTTGCCATTATAAACGCACGGGGATAAGTGCATTTATAGAGACACATTTCCACAAAACACCCAAACTCCGGCATGTAGCTGCAGGTGATACAATAGGAGCCTTTCTGCAAATGGCCTTTGCAACACAACTCACTGGGTGGTAACAAAGTAGACACATTTGCCTCTTTGCAACGTAGCCCCGTTTCCTCAATGAATCCACCCATTTCAGTAAAACCTGAGCTGAAATAGTACGGAGAGCAAAACAGCAGCCCTGTCTGACCCCCGTCAGCCCCCAGACTCCCCCAGTCACGTGGCAGGAGATTCATCCTGAGCCCCCCCCCCTCCGTGAGATGGGTATGACATCATGGATGATCCATATGAACCATTGATGATCCCCATGATCCAAGCAGACTGGTCCAAAGAGCAGATCTCTAGGCCTGAATGAAAGGGGTCTGCTGTGATGGATTCTGGAGTCAAGAAATCCTCCCTTTCCAGTGATCTCTCAGGCTGGCCAGGAAAAGGCAGCGAGCAGGAATCCTCAGGCATCCCGACGGACAGACAGACCTGTCATGTTGCCAAAAGACGAACTCGGAGTCTGATCTGATTTAAATGCAGAACTCATTTTGTGACTTCGCTGTTGGATTGTCGGGATCAGCCCCTCCCCCCTCTCCTGATCCCCAGAAGGAAGACCGGGGGGGGATTTCCTCTCCTCCTCCCCCCCCCACCCGCTCAATTCTTTCCCTCCCCTCCCGGCACATCCTCCTCTCACCCCGCCCCCACAACCCCAGATCACACCCCCAATACATTGCTCCTCCTCCTCCTCCTCCTCCAATCCTGCTTCGCTCCGGAAATGAGGGGGGAGCCCCCCTCCCAACCTGCCTGCTTCTCCCGCAAGTGGAGCGTCCACTCCGGATTGCTGCTCTGCGGCGTATCTGGGGGGGGGGGAGGAGGACGGGAAGAGGAGGATCCCCGCCCAACGTGGATGTTGCAGGAAAGAAATGAGAATCGGAGCGAGGACAAAGAGGTAAAGGGGTCGCGGGGGGGGGCGGAGAGAGAAGAGGACCCAGAGACCCCTCCAGCTCCCCCAAGCGCCTTCCGTGGGGCCTGGATCCCGGCACGCCTGCTGCGAAGGGGCGGAGATGGGGCGCCCACCCACGAGGACTCCCTGGGGCGCGGAGAAGCGGGCCAGGAAAGGGTTAAGGGGTGCGGGAGGCGCCTGGATAGAGACCCCCCTGTCCCTCCCTTGCTCCTGTCGGGGGAGGGCGGGAATGGAGATGTGTGGCGCGCAGGGCGAGGGGTGACCCGAGCCAAGGGGGCCTTTGGGTGCAGGGGAGACTCCGGGAGAGAGGGAGGGGGTCGAGGAATGGGGGGAGGGAGGGGAGCATCCCTGGGTCAGAGAAGGGCAGCGGGGGGGGGGGAGATAGGAAGACCAGTCTTTGGGGAGAAGTCTCCATCGTGGCGCCCGCTGAGAATATCCGGAGCGCTGGGGGCTCCGCGCAGAGAGAGGTGGGCCACGAAAGGGTTAACGGGCACGAGGGATAGAGACCCCCCTGTCCCTCCCCGGCTCGTCTTGGGGGGCCCCTCCAGCTGGAGAGATGGGGGCACAGGACGTGGGGGAGTGGTGCCAAGGAAGCCTCCGGATGCAGGGGAGACTCCGGGAGAGAGGGAGGGGGTCGAGGAAGTGGGGGGAGGAGGGAAGGCAGCATTGGCAGGGGGGGAGATAGGAAGACCACTCTTGGGGGGGGTCTCCATCGTGCCTTCCTTGGGGAATCTCCGGAGGGGCCGCCTTGGCTTCTCCCTCCTGCCCAGGAATGCCCCCCCTTCAAGGCGACCAGAGAGGGATCCCTGGAAAGTGGGGGTCCTGTCCCCCCACCCCTATTTTCCTGCAATCTCCATCCTCTTCCCACCCCATAAGTCCCTGCCCTGTCCAGACGCAGCGATTCTGCCCAGTCCAACCACTGGTCCCCTGGAGAGGAGAGGAAATCCCGAGAGGAAGGGGGAGGGGAGAGGCCTTCTCAGAAGCGGCTCTTTGTTTCCGCAATCCAACCCAGGAAGCAGCCAGAAACCTTTTCCTCTCTCTCAGGCTTCCATCTTTAGCGTCTTTTCCACTGAGGATGAGGATAATGTACACCTGTCCTCAGAAACAGGGGTGCAGAGTCCATGGAATGGCTCTCAGGATTGATAGAGAAGTTGCACCTCCAAAGCATTTCTGTTCCTCTCGTTCTTTGTAGCCAATGTCAGAGTGACTGACAAGCTGCGATACAACCCATCATCATCCAATGACAGCGACTGCATGAATCTTCCCAGTCAAAGGACCCATTTTCTTGATAGACAGTGCCTGTGGCTGGAGGCTCTACATACAAGGTGTGCCTGTGGAGGCCAAAGAGTGTCAGTATTAGCACAGGTGAGGTGTGTGACCTTCCCAAATTTACAGACTGTATGTGAATGAGAGTTTGTGGGTGGGATTATAATTTACGGCAACCCTGTGATTTTCTCCACCCATAACATTTCGTGAGCTGATATTGCAGTACGAATTCCAAAATAACTACAAAAAATCACACGATAATAATAATAATAGTACAGTGGTACCTCGGGTTAAGAACTGAATTCGTTCTGGAGGTCCATTCTTAACCTGAAACTGTTCTTAACCTGTGGTACCACTTTAGCTAATGGGGCCTCCTGCTGCTGTCGTGCGATTTCTGTTCTCATCCTGAAGCAAAGTTCTTAACCCAAGGTACTATTTCTGGGTTAGCGGAGTCTGTAACCTGAAACATCTGTAACACGAAGTACCACTGTAAAAGTTATACTATTAGTATTTCCCCCCCAGCCACTCTGGGCAGCTTACAGTACAGATAGGTAAAGGTAAAGGGACCCCTGACCGTTAGGTCCAGTCATGGCCGACTCTGGGGTTGCAACGCTCATCTCGCTTTATTGGCCGAGGGAGCCGGCATGCAGCTTCCGGGTCATGTGGCCAGCATGACTAAGCCACTTCTGGCGAACCAGAGCAGCACACGGAAATGCCGTTTACCTTCCCGCCGGAGCGGGACGTATTTATCTACTTGCACTTTGACGTGCTTTCAAACTGCTAGGTTGGCAGGAGCAGGGACAGAGCGATGGGAGCTCACCCCGTCGCGGGGATTCGAACCGCCGACCTTCTGATTAGGAAGTCCTAGGCTCTATGGTTTAACCCACAACGACACCAGCGTCCCTACAGTACATATACAAGACAGTAAAACATCCAACATTAAAAACCTCCTGAAACTGCTGTCTTCTAAATGTCAGATGGTTGCCTACCTCCTTGCCCTCTGAAGGGAGGGCATTCCATGGGGCAGGAGGCCCTCTGCCTGGTTCCCTGGAACTTCACTTCTAACAGCAAGGGAACCAGCAGAAGACCCTCGGAGGCGGACCTCCCTGTCTGGACTGAACGATGGGGGTGAAGATGCTCCGTCAGGTCCACAGGGCCGAGGCTGATGAGGGCTTTAGGTTGCAGATCTTGCTTCTCCATAATGATTGATGTATAGATAGCAGAGTAGGAGAAAACACAGAGGCAGCAAAAAAACAATTCAGCTGAGAAATTTGTTACCGAAGACAGAGAAGCATAACAGGATCCAAAAAATAGCAAAAATGTAACTCGCAGTAAAACCCTGACTTAGCAAACCAAAACAGCACTCAAGTAAGAAACAGACAAGCAGAGTAGAGTAATATCAGACTATGAAGTGGGAGCAGGCGCATTTCAATACTGTAATTTCTATATAATTCAAGGTCAGAGTAATCCTGGGACTAGATCACAAGCCTCCAGGTGGACGTGCCCCACCTCCCCTTCACTTTCCTCTTCCACACGGGCAGAATCTGCCTTCTGGACTGTGGGATTCACGGTTGTTCTCCTCCTCTCCATCCACCAGGGCTTGACTTCAGGTGCAGCAGAATTCCCCAGCCCCCAAGGATTTGAGACCCATCAGCTTTTCTTTTTTTTAAAGATATTTATTAAGATTTTTAAGAATTAAAACAGACATCCCCAACCGTACACAAGAAATAAGAAAAAACAGTGTCCCATTCAAACAAACACATAAAAATACAGTGCACATCTAAAGAGAAAAAAAGAAGAAAGACATATAAAACATACAAATCCAATTTCTTACTAAAGTTTTTTCATATCCCTCTTTCCAGACTCCCTCACATCTCCCTTTTCTGTGTTCCTTTTTACACGATCATATTCAGCAGTACCTTTCCTCTTTCAAATCTTATTCTATATTATACATTTCAATTATTATGTCTCCATTTTTTCCCCCTTGTTTCCACTTATTTATATTTGACATAATATTATTCTAGCTTTTTTCACCCTTATTCTTATGGAACATTCCTTGCCTACTCCTTTCGACTAAGTCACTAATGCCATATTATCTTTATATCTTGCATCATTTTAACATTCATACAGTTTACAATGCTTTTGCAGGTAGTCTTTAAATTTCTTCCAGTCCTCTTCCACTAACTCTTCTCCCAGGTCTCGGATTCTGCCAGTCATTTCTGCCAATTCCATATAGTCTATCAGTTGCATCTGCCATTCTTCCAAAGTGGGCAAATCTTGTGTCTTTTGCGATGAGTATTCTTGCTGCTGTTGTTGCGTACATAAAGAAAGTTCTGTCCTTCTTTAACACCATTTGGCCAACAATGCCCAAAAGGAAGGCCTCTGGTTTCTTAGGGAAGGTATATTTAAATACCTTTTTCAATTCATTATAGATCATTTCCCAGAAAGCCTTGACCCTTGGGCACGTCCACCAAAGGTGAAAGAATGTTCCCTCAGCTTCTTTACATTTCCAACACTTATTATCCGGCAAATGGTATATTTTTGCAAGCTTGACTGGGGTCATGTACCACCTATAAATCATTTTCATAATATTTTCTTTTCAGACATTACATGCCGTGAATTTCACACCAGTGGTCCACAACCGTTCCCAGTCAGCAAAAATAATGTTATAACCAATATCTTGCGCCCACTTTATCATAGCTGATTTAACCGTTTCATCCTAAGTGTTCCATTTTAACAGCAAGTTATACATTCTTGAAAGTACCTTAGGTTTAGGTTCTAACAGTTCTGTTTCTAATTTCGATTTTTCCACCTGGAAACCTGTTTTTTTGTCCATATTAAAGACCTCTCTGATTTGACGGTAATGTAACCAATCTCACACTTCTCAAAACTCTGCAATCTCCATATGTCTCCAACTTTTTCTAATATCTCCCAATATTTTGGCCACTTGGCCTCCATATTGAGTCTTTTCAGAGCCTTAGCTTCCATGGGTGACAGCCACCTTGGGGTCTTATTTTCTAATAAGTCTTTGTATCTTGTCCAGACATTAAACACTGCTTTCCTGACAATATGGTTCTTAAATGCTTTGTGAGCTTTAACCTTGTCGTACCACAGATATGCATGCCATCCAAACGCATTGTTGAACCCTTCCAAATCCAAAATGTCAGTGTTTTCAAGAAGTAGCCAGTCTTTCAACCAGCAGAATGCTGCTGATTCATAGTACAACTTCATGTCTGGCAGGGCAAATCCCCCCCTTTCTTTAGCATCAGTTAATATCTTAAATTTTATTCTGGGCTTTTTGCCCTGCCAGACAAATTTAGAAATGTCTCTCTGCCACCTCTTGAAACAACCCATCCTGTCCACAATCTGCAAAGTCTGAAACAAAAACAGCATTTTTGGCAATACATTCATCTTTATAGCAGCAATTCGACCCAACAAGGAAAGTTTCAATTTGGACCAAATTTCTAAGTCTTTTTTAACCTCTGACCAGCATTTTTCATAATTATCTTTAAATAAATTCAAGTTTTTAGCCGTCATGTTAATCCCTAGGTATTTCACTTTTTTAACCACATTTAACTCTGTCTCCTTCTGAAACCTTTCTTTTTCCATAGTAGTTAAGGTTTCCCCCAAAACCTTAGTTTTTTGCATATTTTGTTTAAATACCTCTAACCGACCAAATTCTTGAATCAGTTCTAAAACTCTTTTTGTACTAGATTCTGGCTCCTGTAATGTCAAAACCAGGTCATCTGCAAAGGCCTTCAGTTTATATTGTTTAGCTCCGACCTGAATTCCTTCAATCAACCGGTCTCTTCGAATCATGTTCAGGAGCACCTCCAGGACCGAAATAAATAACAATGGAGAGATAGGGCAGCCCTGTCGTGTTCCTTTCTCTATCTTAAACTCTTCTGACACCACATTATTAACTATCAGTTTTGCTTTTTGTTCTGAATAGATTGCGTCTATACCATTTTCAAAACCCCGTCCCACTCCCATTCCCTTAAGATTCTTCTTCATAAAATTCCATGAAATATTGTCAAAGGCCTTCTCCGCATCAATAAAAATCAACACTGCTTTTGTATTTGTGTTCATTTGCAATAGCTCCAAAATGTCAATAATGTTCCTTGTGTTGTCGGACAGATGTCTACCTGGGAGAAAGCCTGCCTGGTCTTTATGAATCACTTCATTTAGCACTCTTTTTAATCTATTGGCTAGAATGTCTGCAAAAATTTTGTAATCCACATTTAAAAGGGAAATGGGATGGTAGTTCTTAAATTGTGTCTTTTCAGATTCAGATTTCGGTATAAGTGTGATGAAAGCTTCTTTCCACGACTCCGGTGCCTTCTTCCCCTCCATAATCTCGTTACATACCTCCTTCAGTGGTTGAATTAAATAGTCTTTCAGAGTCTTATAATACTTGGAGGTTAGCCCATCCGGCCCTGGAGACTTGCCCAATTGCATGTTCTGAATGGCACCTTCAATCTCCTGTTCGGTTATTTTATAGTTCAATATTGTTTTATTTTCTTGAGATAGTTTTGGTAATCCGTTGGTTCTTAAAAATTGGTCTATGTCAATCTCTTTTTGCGGCCCTTGGGTATGTAGTTGTTTAAAGTATCTCTGGAAGCATTTTCTAATCTCCACAGGGTTCTGAATGTTTCTCCCTTCAATCTCTAAGTTAGTAACCATGTTCAACTTCTGTCTCTTTTTCAACTGCCATGCTAGCAGTTTTCCGCCTTTATTAGCCAATTCAAAGGTCCTTTGTCTCATTTGTTTGATTTTCCACTCGACTTCCTGATTTATCAATTTCGTATATTGTGCTTGATAAAGTTTAATTTCTCTCAGAATCTCCTGTGACTTTGGTTTCGATCTTAGTTTTTTCTCCCCTTCTTTTATTTTCTCCAAGATCTTATCCTTTTTCTCATTTTGAACTCTTTTTCTTATTGCATTCTGTTGTATCAGAAACCCCCTCATCACCGCTTTACTTGCGTCCCAGATTACTCTTTTTTCCACCGTTGTTTTCAAATTTACTTCAAAATAATCACTCAAGTTCTTTTGGGCCTTCTTGACTATCTCTTGATCTCTTAGTAAGGTGTCATTCATCTTCCATCTGAAGGAACCAGTTCAGGTTGATTTAATTTCCATCTTTACTGCATTATGGTCGGAGCAGGTTTTGGGGCAGATTTCCACCTTTTTGATCTTGGGAGCCAATCCTCTAGTTATCCATATTTGGTCAGTTCTTGTCCGTGTCATTTTGGCTTCAGAGAAGAATGTCCCCTCTCTTCCTAAGGGGTTCTTTGTTCTCCAAATGTCAATCAGATCCATATTGTCGGTTAATTCAAAGAAGGTTTTGGTAGCCTGCCCTCTTTTGTCACACTTTGACTTTGTGCTTTGTCCATATTCGTAGATACCACCCCATTCATGTCTCCCATCAAAATGATGTTATTATAGTCCATATAGTCCAACATTGTCTCCTGCAGCTTCTTGAAGAATTCCGATTTCCCCTCATTTGGTGCATAAATTCCCACAATCAAAAATTTTTCTCCTTGTATTTGAATTTCAATTGCCAAGATTCTTCCTTGCTCATCTTTGAAAAGAAATTTTGGTGATAGGCTTTCTTTTGCATAAATAAGAACTCCTCTCTTCTTCACTTTATCAGATGAAATAAATTCTTGACCTAGTCTCGTGTTAATTAACACTTTCCTGTGAAGCCTAATCACGTGCGTTTCCTGCAGGCAAATGAGGTCTAATTGTTCTTTTTTTAATAAATGGAAAATCTTCCTTCTTTTCTCTGGGGAGTTAAAACCGTGGATATTCCAACTTAATAGTTGCAGCGACATGTTGGACTACTCTATTCTCCCTTTGGTGGTGGTGGTATCGCTCTCTCCGGGTCGGCAGAACCCAAGGGTGTAGGTGTAGACCCTCGTGGTCCAAGTCTTAAGGCTCCTGGATCTTCTTCTGTCCCTTTCTGGAGGTCTTCTCCGTAGTCACTCAAAAATTTCTCCTTGTCTTCAGCTGTTTTGATTTTCACCTTCTTCCCACTGAAGGTAAAGGATAATCCCTGGGGGAACTCCCACCTAAAAATAATTCTGCTGCTTCTCAATAATTTCACCAGGTCTCCGTACCTGGATCTAAGTTCCAGTAGGTGTTTCGGGATGTCCTTGTAGATTTCCACTCTCGAATCCTGAATTTCAAGCGTCTTTTGAAAGTGTTCACTCAATATTTTGTCTCTTTCTGCCTTCGTTCTGAGAGAGATCAGGCAGTCCCTGGACTTTACCTTTCCCCCTCCTTTTCCAAGTCTGAATGCACTTACGATTTTAAAGTCTTTATCTTCTTCCAAAAGCCAAAATTCTGTAAATTCTTTTGTCAAATATCCAGTTAAGTCTCCTTTTTCAAGTTCTGGGACTGCCCTCAATCTCAAATTATTTTCCTTACTTCTTAATTCTATCATAGACAGGTATTCCTCATGTTCATCAATCTGTTTGCGCATAGGTTTGATTTCCTCTTGCACCGCCTCTGCTTTCTGTTTGGCCTCATCAGCTACTTTACGATTTTCAGTAGTGGCTTCCAGTAGTTTCCCAATTGATTGTGCATTTAAGCTAACTTGTTGAGTCAAGTTATTAACACTAGCTGTGTTTTGGTCAATTTTAGATGATTGTTCAGTCACTTGTTTACTCAGGCCTTCTAATTTTTCAAAGATTTTTTCTAATACCGAAGTAGAGTCCCCTCCTGTGGCCATTCCTTCCGGCCTAGCTTGCTCTGATTCTTCCTCTTGTGTTACAGAAACAATGGGAACGGATGATCTACGCAGCTGTGAGATTATATTAGGTTGTTGTGTCTTGGCTTTGGCTGATCTTGTTCTCCCAGTCCCACTCATTCCACTTCTGTCTATGCGCCAAGGTCAGTCTCACACTTTGCAATTCCCATGGGAATCCACGAGTCCACAGATGGAAAAAAAACACCCCCAGTAGTTGCAAATTTTCAAAGTTCCTCTAGAGGGAGATAGGTATATCCTAAGGGGAAAAAAGTTGTTGTTCATACATTCCAGGTTGCTCCAAATCCCTTAAAATTTGATGGTAATATCAAACAGGATCAAAGTCTCAAAAGTCCTCCAGATCCTTTATCCTTAGCAGAGTTAACCTTAAAGTACTTACAATGTCTCTAAAAAGTGCCAGCTTCAATGTAGCAATTCAGTGTAACGATCCAATGTATCAGTCCAATGTAACAAATCACACAGTCCCACAGTCCCGCAGCTCTAAAGATCTGGCAGCCCGACTACCGGGATTTCGGTAGTTTTGTAAATCCACAAAAGAAGAGGTAAAAAAAATTGTCCAATAATAAGAAGGTAAAGTTCACAAATAACGGGGTAAAATTCCAGCTTTCTCCCTGCGCCTCAGTTCAATTGATGCTCAGATTAATTCCTTTTTAAGTCACAATTCCAAAGGCATTAGAAAGTTTAAATCCTTGCTTTTGATCTTTAAACAGTGCCGGGAGACGGACTTCCTGGTTGCATTTCCCGCTTCAGTGCCGAAATTTAAATAAATTTAGTCCCGAATATCAAACTTCACCTGCTCACGGGAAGTTGTTTTGTAGCTGAATAGTCCCAGGAAAAGGGTCAGCGCTCACCGACAGCAGCTTTGCGGCTTCACTCCACAGAAAGAGCGATCGACTCACAGCACCGTGCCAGCCCTTCCACGCTCCAGAGCCCCTTATGGGGTCCCTTCAATGTTTCCTTTTTTAATTTTTTTATTGAAATTTTCCATTAAAAACACCAAACATATCCATTTACATATCACATAATTTGTCTTATTTGGACCTCCCTCAACTTCTCTGACAATCATTCGTAATTCAAATCCTATCTTCACATTCCTTTGTTTCAATATTTCCATCAAATTTTATATTTCTATTCTTATTTGCCTTTTGGTAATATTTCCTTATGTTTTCACAAAGCTTCTTTAAAACACACTAGCGTTGTACAATCTTCACATATATTTTCCAAATACTCCGTAAATTTCCCCCAGTCCTCAAAGAATCTTTGGTCTTTTTGGTATCTAATTTTTCCAGTTAATTTGTCCAGTTCTGCATAATCTGTTAATTTTGTCCTCCATTCTTCCAAGGTCGGAACCTCTTCTTGTTTCCATCTTTGGGCCAACAATGTCCTTGCCGCGGTGATCGCATACTGAAACAGTTTACAGTCTCTCCTACTTATATCCATTCTTGTTATTCCCAGCAGAAAGGTTTCTGGTTTCTTAACAAAGCTATATTTTAGCATTTTCTTTAGTTCATTGTATATCATCTCCCAGAACCCCCTTACTTTCCTGCAATCCCACCACATATGCATAAATGTGCCTTCTTTCTCCCTGCATCTCCAACACTTGTTACAAATTTTGTACATTTTTGCTAATTTTGCTGGTGTCATATACCACCTGTAAACCATCTTCATTGTATTTTCTTTTAATGTAACACATGCAGTAAACTTCAAATTTTCATTCCATATTTTTTGCCAATCATCCAATTCTATGTTATATCCTAAATCTTTGGCCCACTGAATCATAACTACTTTTACCTCCTCATCCATTGTATGCCATTCCAACAAAATTTTGTACATTTTAGAAATTATTTTGCAGTCATTATTCACTATCTCTGTTTGGAATTTTGAATCTTTTTCTTTATACCCTCTTTCTTTCTCTTCCTTTTTGAACATTTCATTTATTTGGCGGTAGTGCAACCAATCATAGACATATTCCTTTACTTGTTCATATGGTTTTAACCTCCACTTTCCTCCTTCCTTCACCACCAAGTCTGCATAGGTAATCCAATCCAGCACCGCGCCAGCCCTTCCACGCTCCGGAGCCCCTTACGGGGTCCCTTCAATGTTTCAGGGGGCGCTCAGGGTGCCCGCCGAGTCCCACAGCCACAGGCTATCACTGCCTGTGGTTTTCCGGTCTGGGTCTCCGCTTCGCCGTAGCGAACGACCCGTTTGAGCTGAGTGCAGGGTGAAGACCAAGGGTGGAAAAATGACCTCAGAAGGTGCAGGACATGTCCCCCACCAAAGGAACTACTGCTCCCCAACACCCCATGACATCTAGATTCAGGTAGGTAGCCGGGTTGGTCTGACGCAGTTGAAATAAAAAAATTAAAAATAGTCCAGTAGCACCTTAGAGACCAACTAAGATTGTCCTAGGTATAAGCTTTCGTGTGCATGCGCACTTCTTCAGATACACTGACACAGATGTCACCAGCCCCTTGTATATCGTGGGAGGGTGGGCTGGGGTTTTTCTCAAAAAGGTACTCCTACTACCATCTCCTACTATCCTTCACTATATGAAGAAGTGTGCATGCACACGAAAGCTTATACCTAGAACAAACTAGGTCCCTAATGGGCTACTGGACTATTTTTTTTTACTTTTATACTTCAACTGTGTCAGACCAACACGGCTACCTACGATTAAGTACAGTTATTTCCTCGCCTTGAACATCCTGCTTTTCAGTGCCAGATTAGGATAGTCCTGTGTCAGAAGACAAGCACAGGATCAGGCAGCACATCATCATTATAAAGAACCATTGGGATGGAGTGTTTCCCATTTGCCATCTTCTTTCCTTCTGCTTCTCCTGCTCTCTCCATGCAATGTGAGGCATGTAGACAGAGGTCCATCTCCCAGAACAGGAGCTTCCCTGAGCACCCATTCAGCTGACCCCAAGCACCAAGCCTTGGTCACTAGTTCTCTGACTGACCCAGACCACAGTCCCTGGAAGAGATGTAGGCCTGGGTCTCCCAAAATAATCCATATGGACCTCCTGAGGTCAGTGGGACTGTGAAGGTGATTCATGAAGATCTAGAGGTGGAAACGGGGGCAACCACTTGATTTGAAAGGCAGTCCCACAGGACAACAGTATTCCAAGATCATGCTGTGTTATTAAAGATGATTGAGGATCTTGAAAGGTTCCTGATGCATTACTACCATTTGACATCATAGCATTTTCATTTCCTAAAAATTGGGAACATGGGGAGGACATGGGAGAATGTAAGAGATGTTGAAATAAGAGAAGGTGCTAATGGCGGTTGATGTGTTCTCTTTCCCTTTGTTCTCTTCCTTGAAACCCAAACAGGATTTGCTTTCTGCCCACTCTGAAAAAGGTGATGGAGAAGACAGAATTGTGGGGGACAGGGCACCTTTCGTTTCATTAGGAATAGCCATTAAAATGTGTGAAATGTGGAATATGCATCACTGAATGAGCACACATAGTTCACATCAACGAACACAAAAAGGAAAGAAGCCATTCAAAGGTATGTAGTGCGGAAAGAGCTTCTCTTTCAACTCAAAACTTAGAACACACCAGCGGACTCACACAGAGAGAAAACGTTTTAAGTGCAGGGAGTGTGGGAAGAATTTCAGTCAGAGTGGAAACCTTAAATTGCACAAAGGGACTCACACAGGGGGAAAACCATATGAATGTATGGTGTGTGGAAAGAACATTAATAATAGTGGAAGCCTTAGAAGATATCAACGGACTCACACAGGGGAGAAACCGTTTAAATGCATGGAGTGTGGAAAGAGCTTCAGTCAGAGTGCACAACTTAGATCACATCAATGGACTCACACAGGGGAGAAACCATATAAATGTATCGAGTGTGGAAAGGGCTTCAGTCGGAGTGGAAACCTTAGAAATCATCAACAGACTCACACAGGGGAGAAACCATTTGAATGCATGGAGTGTGGAAAGAGCTTTAGTGAAAATGGAAGCCTTAGGAACCATCAACGGACTCACACAGGGGAGAAACCATATAAATGTCTGGAGTGTGGAAAGAGCTTCAGTCAGAGTGGACACCTCAATATACATCAACGGACTCACACAGGGGAGAAACCATATAAATGTCTGGAGTGTGGAATGAGTTTTAGTGATCGTGGAAGCCTTAGATCACATCAATGGACTCACACAGGCGAGAAACCATTTAAATGCATGGAGTGTGGAAAGGAATTCAGTCGGAGTGGAAGCCTTAGAAGACATCAACGGACTCACACAGGGGAGAAACCATTTAAATGCATGGAGTGTGGAAAGGAATTCAGTCAGAGTGGAGTTCTTAGGAACCATCAACGGTCTCACACAGGGGAGAAACCATATAAATGTCTGGAGTGTGGAAAGAGCTTCAGTCGGAGTGGAAACCTTAGAATACATCAACGGACTCACACAGGGGAGAAACCATTTAAATGTATCGAGTGTGGAAAGAGCTTTAGTGAAAATGGAAGCCTTAGGAACCATCAATGGACTCACACAGGGGAGAAACCATATAAATGTCTGGAGTGTGGAAAGAGTTTTAGTGATCGTGGAAGCCTTAGATCACATCAACGGACTCACACAGGGGAGAAACCATTTAAATGTATCGAGTGTGGAAAGAGCTTTAGTAAAAGTGGAAACCTTAGAACACATCAACGGACTCACACAGGGGAGAAACCATTTAAATGCATGGAGTGTGGAAAGAGCTTCAGTCAGAGTGGAGACCTTAGAAATCATCAACGGACTCACACAGGGGAGAAACCATTTCAATGTATGGAGTGTGGAAAGAGCTTTAGTAACAGAGGATGCCTTAGAACACATCAACGGACTCACACAGGGGAGAAACCATTTAAATGTATCGAGTGTGGAAAGAGCTTCAGTAAGAGTGGAAACCTTAGAAATCATCAACAGACTCACACAGGGGAGAAACCATTTGAATGCATGGAGTGTGGAAAGAGCTTCAGTCGGAGTGGAGATCTTAGAACACATCAACGGACTCACACAGGGGAGAAACCATTTGAATGCATGGAGTGTGGAAAGAGCTTCAGTCAGAGTGCACAACTTAGATCACATCAATGGACTCACACAGGCGAGAAACCATATAAATGTATCGAGTGTGGAAAGAGCTTTAGTGATAGTGGAAAGCTTAGATCACATCAACGGACTCACACAGGGGAGAAACCATATAAATGTCTGGAGTGTGGAAAGAGTTTTAGTGATGGTGGAAGCCTTAGATCACATCAACGGACTCACACAGGGGAGAAACCATTTAAATGTATAGAGTGTGGAAAGAGCTTCAGTGATAGTGGATGTCTTAGAAGACATCAACGGACTCACACAGGGGAGAAACCATTTAAATGCATGGAGTGTGGAAAGAGCTTCAGTAAGAGTGGAGACCTTAGAAAACATCAACGGACTCACACAGGGGAGAAACCATTTCAATGTATGGAGTGTGGAAAGAGCTTTAGTAACAGAGGATGCCTTAGAACACATCAACGGACTCACACAGGGGAGAAACCAGATACCGTATTTTTCTCCCCATAGGACGCACCTAGTTTTTTTTGGGGGGGGGATAAAGAAAAAATATTTTTTTCCTGGTTGGCTTCCCCCGACCCCAGCCCCCAGAACAGGCTGCCACCTGCAAGCCTTGCGAACCCGGTGGGAGCTGCCGCTGGGTGCGCGAGGCTTGCGGATAGCTTCCTGAAGCCTGGAGAGCGAAAGGGGTCGGTGCACACAGATGCCTCTCACTCTCCAGGCTTCAGCGAAAGCCTGCATTCGCCCCATAGGACGCACACACATTTTCCCTTCATTTTTGGAGGGGAAAAATGTGTCCTATAGGGCGAAAAATACGGTAAATGTATTGAGTGTGGAAAGAGCTTTAGTAATAGTGGAAGCCTTAGAAATCATCAACGACTCACACAGGGGAGAAACCATTTAAGGGTATGGACTGTAGAAGGAGCTTCAGTCTGAGTGGAACCCTTGATTTATGTCAACAGACTCACACAAAAGACAAACCATATAACCGTATTTTTCACTCTATAAGACTTAACAGACCACAAGACGTACCTAGTTTTTGGAGGACGAAAACAAGAAAAAAATATTGTGCGTCCCAGAAGCAAGAGGGATTGCTGCGCAGCAAAAGTAGCAATCCCTCTTGCTGTTCTGGCTTCTGGGATAGCTGCACAGCCTGCATTCGCTCCATAAGACGCACACACATTTCCCCTTACTTTTTAGGAGGGAAAAAGTGAGTCTTATAGAGCAAAAAATACGGTAAAATCAGGAAAGTACTCTTAGTGGAAGTTCAATTTCAACAGACTATGGACAGGAAGAACTTTAGAGTTGAAACCCTTCAGACCATCAACAAACTCAGAAGAGAAGCAGTTTAAATGAAAAGACTGCAAAAAGTGCTTTCTTTATAATGGAGTATTTAAGGAACAGGGACACGGGTGGCACTGTGGGTTTAACCACAGAGCCTAGGACTTGCCGATCAGAAGGTCGGTGGTTCGAATCCCCACAACGTGGTGAGCTCCCGTTGCTCGGTCACTGTTCCTGCCGACCTAGCAGTTTGAAATCATGTCAAATTGCAAGTAGATAAATAGGTACCGCTCTGATGGGAAGGTAAACGGCGCTTCTATGCGCTGCTCTGGTTCGCCAGAAGCGGCTTAGTCCTGCTGGCCACATGACCCAGAAGCTGTAGCCCGGCTCCCTCGGCCAATAAAGTGAGATGAGCACCGCAACCCCAGAGTCGTCTTTGACTGGACCTAATGGTCAGGGGTCCCTTTACCTTTACCTTTATTTAAGGAACATCTAGGGACTCTCACATGGGAGAACCCATTTAGATGTATGGAGTGTGGGACGTCTTCCTCTCAGAGTCCACTCTGAGCAATGAACTCAGCAGGAAATCATTCCTACAAGCATGAGGTATATGTGAAGTTCTGGTGTTTATATATAAAAAATTCCTTCCAGTAGCACCTTAAAGACCAACTAGGTTAGTTCTTGGTATGAGCTTTCGTGTGCATGCACACTTCTTCAGATACACTTCTTCTTCAGAACTTTTTCTGAAGAACCAGAACTTTTTCGCTGCCTCCTGCCCTGCGCGTTCTGAAGAAAACTTGAAATACTGAAATTGAATGGGGGATTTCCCCCCCAGCCTAATTTCAAGAGGGGGAAGGAGGGGCTGCAGGTATCAGAGAAGTCTCCTGGGGGCCCCATCTTTGCTCATGAAACCCATGGGGAAACCCCAGAGCTCCTGCTCATTCTGGGGTTTGAGGAAGATAGTATTTTTCCATAGTCCCAGAATTTTTGATTCAATCATGCTTCTCAGGAGTTTTCCCACCAGAGGACCACAGTGCTGTAGTGTGTTCCCACCATTTCAGAACACCATTTCAGATAAAACCACAGCGGACTTTGCCACCAAACTCTGCCAATTTGTCCTTACCCACAACAACTTCAAATTTGGTGATGACCTGTTCCTTCAGATCAGCGGCACAGCAATGGTCACCCGCATGGACCCACAGTATTCCAACATCTTCATGGCAGATTTAGAACAATGTTTCCTAAACTCCTACCCACTCAAACCTCTCTTGTACCTGCGATACATTGATGATATTTTTATCATCTGGACACATGGCCAACAGACCCTGGACACCTTCCACCAGAAATTCAATGATTTCACCCCACAATCAACCTAACAATGAATCAATCTATGCAAGAAATACATTTTTTGGGCACTACTATAAAAATACAGGATGGGCGCATAGACACCACCTTATACCGTAAACCAACTGACCGACAAACATATCTACATGCCTCTAGCTACCATCCCAAACATACCAAACAGTCCATTGTATATAGCCAGGCACTACGTTACAGCCGTATCTGTTCCAATTCTACAGGCAGAGACTCTCACCTAAGAGATCTACAGCAAACCTTTTTAGAACTAAAATACCCAGCAGATGAAGTTAGACAACAGAGCCAGACTGATATCCAGAGAGAACTTGCTGCAAGACAGACCCAAAAAAGAAAATAACAGAACACCTCTAGTCATCACATACAGCTCCCAAGTTAAAACAGTACAACCCATCACAATGACAGTTCTCTTTCTCAAGCTCTGGGAGGAAGACCTTTCATTGCCTACAGACAGCCACCCAATCTCAAACAACTCCTAACCCACAATAATACTACAACCAGACTTAACACGGACACTGGCACAAGAGCCTGCAATAAACCCAGATGCCAACTTTGCTGCCACATACACCCGGACAACACCATTACTGGCCCCAACAACATCACACATACCGTCTCAGGACTATTTAATTGCTCATCGTCTAACATTGTATATGCCATCAAATGCCAACAGTGTCCTTCAGCTCTCTATATTGGACAAACAGGCCAAACCTTACGCCAAAGAATAAACGGACATAAATCTGACATCAAAAATCACAAAACAGAGAAACCAGTAGGAGAACACTTCAATCTCCC